AAACCTGTATAACAGAAATGTGTGATACTTTCATATTTGTCTATAAATACATAAAATAGAAAATTACGTTACATATACATTTGCTTATATGTAAGGAAGAAAGATCCTTCACTGTACATATGTTTTTTATCTTTGAATGTCTAACCAGGCAAATATGTTAATAACTTGAGAAAATTTTTAAAGAGAAATAGTCCATATTATCTCTATAAAGCAATATAGTTTTTAAAATTTGGGTTATAAATAGTTCCTAAAGTCAACACTGATGGTCAAGTTTGCTAGAGATGTCATAAATAAGGTTCTTAACAAAATACTTCTTCCTGGAAATTTAACTAATATTACTTAGAAATGTTTTGATGATATTAATTATCAGAATACCACAGATAGAAAAAGAATAAACTGATATAATAAGTACAAATACTTTATGATCTGTATATCATAGTCTCCCTGTTGAAGTTTACTTGAAAACCATATAAAATAATTCTAGGCTTTCCCCAATGTTACACAATTTATGATCAGTGATAGTAATGACTGCTAATATGCCTTAAAAGGTGAATGCTTGATTTTATTCATTTTTCAGATCATACATCACAGAAATAAAAAGTTTTTCTTCCATATTTAGGTTTATAAAGTCAGATATGAGAGGACCCAAGGACCATCAACAATTTAAGCCTGGTTGCCACCTTCAAAGGTTATAAAACCAAAGATGGAAGGTGCTCTATTAAAAAAAAAAAAACGCTAAAATTTACAAACTATATAAACTAAATATGTATATATGTATCTTACATAAGCATAAGGATATGAAAGAATGTTGCCCAACGAATCCAGTCATACAAGGATTAAGCTGCAACAACTCACTGCAAGTACACGCAGAGGTTAATTCAGGAGAGAGAAAAACAGAATGGAGCATTCTGTTTTGGATATATGGCCCAAAGACAGTTAAGATTCATATCTAAGAAAGAATTTCAATGGTCCCAGATTCTTACATCTTCCCATACATAGAGAAGCACTTACATCATTAAGATGTCTTTTCTTTTTGATTAGCAATAATCTTTTATGCCTGACTCTATGTTTCTTCCAGTGAAAAAAATTAATATAGATGCTGGTTCTTCAGTACCTTTTCTGCAGCAGTTCCTCAAAGCTATCTGAGAGGCTATCTTCCAGGCCATATAGTTCCCAGTAAGACCCTCAATAAAACTTCATTCACAACTCTCACACTGTATATCTGTCTTTCAGCTGACAGGTATATAGAAATTTATATAGTTAAATGGCCTATTTAGGAGGACTTAGAGTTCCCAAAAATGCTTATTTAAATTCTCCTTTGTTGACTTAAGCCTTGCCTTCACCATACATTTAAGGATTTTTATTCTCTCCACAATTGATAGTGATATTAATGATTATTCTCAATGTTAACATAATTTAATCTCTCTCAAAATGATATCATGTTTTTGTAAGCATTAAAATAGGCAACCCCAGATAGTTACATGTAAAAGAATGAAATTACACTTCTTAACACTATACACAAAAACAAACTCAAAATGGATTAAACATCTAAATTCAAGGCCAGACACTATAAAGGTCTTAGAGGAAAACACAGGCAGAACACCTTCAACATAAACTGCAGCAAGACCTTTTTTGAACCCCTGTCTAGAGTAATGAAAATAAAAACAAACAAATGGGACCTAATTAAACTTACAAGCTTTTGTATGGCAAAAGAAGCCATAAACAAAACAAAAAGACAGCCCTCAAAATGGGAGAAAATATTTGCAAATGAAGCAACCAACAAGGGATTAATCTCCAAAATATATAAACAGCTCATGTAGCTCAATATAAAAAAATAATAACCCAACGAAAAATTGCACAGATCTAAATAGACATTTCTCCAAAGAAGACATAGAGATGGCCAACAAATACATAAAAAGATGCTCAACATTACTAATTATTAAGATTAGAGAAAAGCAAATCAAAACTACAATGAGCTATCATCTCATAGTGATCAAAATGGCCATCACCAAAAAGTCACAAATAGTAAATGCTGGAGAGAATGTGGAGAAAAGGGAACTGTTGGTGGGAATGTAAATCAGTACAGCCACTACAGAGAACAGTATGGATGGTCCTCAAAAATCTACAAACAAAACTGCCATATGACCCAGCTATCCCACTTCTGAGCATACAACCCAGAGAAAACCATAATTCAAAAAGATACATGCGCTTTTCTTTGTGCTGGTATCGCTCTCGCAAATATGGTGAACATTCCAAAAACCCGCCAGACTTTCTGTAAGAAGTGTGGGAAGCACCAGCCCCACAAAGTGACACAGTACAAGAAGGGCAGGGATTCTTTATATGCCCAGGGAAAGTGGCATTATGAGAGGAAGCAGAGTGGCTATGGTGGGCAGACTAAGCCGATTTTCCGGAAAAAGGCTAAAACTACAAAGAAGATTGTACTGAGGCTTGAATGCGTTGAGCCCAATTGTAGATCGAAGAGAATGCTGGCTATCAAGAGATGCAAGCATTTTGAGTTGGGAGGCGATAAGAAGAGAAAGGGCCAACTGATCCAATTTTGAGCTTCATATTTTGTTTTATTATGAAGACAATAAAAGTTTGAGATCATTTACTTCATTTAGTTCCAGTTGGTTTTTTTGGAAGGGAAATAAAAATGCCATCAATAAAATCCTCTTTGTGGGAAAAAAAAAAAGATACATGCATCCCAATGTTCATTGCAGCACTATTTACAATAGCCAGGAAACAGAAGCAACCTAAAAGTTCATCAATAGAAGACTGGATAAAGAAAATGTGGTACACATAGACACTGAACTGTTACTTAGCCATAAAATGGAACTAAATAGTGCCATTTGCAGAGACGTGGATAGATCTGGAGATTGTCATACAGAATGAAGTAAATCAGAAGAAGAAAAACAAATATCACATAAAATCACTTACATGTGGAATCTAGAAAAATGGTATAGATAAACTTATTTGCAAAGCAGAAATAGAGAGACATATGTAGAGAACAAACTTAGGGATACCAAGGGGAAGGGGTGTTACGATGAATTGGGCGTTTGGGATTGACATATACACACTACTATGTATAAAATAGATAACTAATGAGAACCTACTGTTTAGCAAAGGAAACTCTACTCAGTGCTTTGTGGTGACCTAAATGGGAAGGAAATCTAAAAAAGAAGGGATATATATATACATATAACAGATTCACTTTGATGTACAGCAGAAACTAACACAACATTGGTAAAGCAACTATATTCCAACAAAAGTTAATTAAAAATATAGGTAATGCCTACAAAGTTCCCAGTGTTTAAATTTGTCCAAAATCTGTCAGCTTGTTTTTATATTGCTACCAGTTAAATACACCTCAATTGAGTTAATAAAATTATAATTGGAAATCATCATTAATCATTTCTTCTCCCCAAAATGGCTTTAAAAGGAACCAGAACATTTCCTTCAACAATCCAGTTGTAAGGGGAAAAAAACTCATTCTGCTTATCTACACAAAACTGTAGGGCAAGATCTAATCAAAATATTGACAAACAAAAAATGCTACAAGCAGAGAAAGAGATAAAATCAATATGGCAATACCTGAGTAGGTACTATTTTTAGTAGTAAAGATACAAGGAAACATATAACAACTCTTGACTGATCTTTCAGTTTTTCATATCATGAAATTTATGCTACATTACTTATTTTAAAATTTAAGATAAAATAAACCAAAATTAGATCAAATATGAAGAAAGAAGTTCTACCTATTTTAAGCAAATAGCTAAAATACAAATTTTCTCCACTCAAAAAAATACTGGATATAATAAAAACTTTCATTGATGCTGAATTCCAAAACACTGTGGATATAATACTCATGAATATTACTCAGAACATTGAAGGTCAAGTAATATGCAAATGAGAAGAAAAAGTTCCAGGTAGAAAAATGAATGTAGAAAAGAATAGATGCCATTCTTTGTTCTCATCAAACCTATAAAAACACATTTACTTCATTAAGCTCTGCCTATATGGTGATGACTCCATATGAACTATAACCATTCAACAAAATAAAAGAAGTACTTTCTCGAGCTCTCAGCAGTGACTGTCTCTATTATCTACCTTCCTCAGTTATGACTAGTACTTGCTAATTTGTGTAAATTTACCTCTCAGAGATTTCTTCCTCTTTCATTAATATCAAATTTTCCTGTGCTAGCCCTTCACAATCACTGCAAAAAGCCTGACAGCTTCCCAAATAATTAAACAAAAATCAAATCATTTGATAGTTAAATAACAGAGATGGTTAATAAAATACAAATTTTACTTCATCTTGAAATGGATTATCAGCTAAGTAGATGTCTGTGATATTCTAGCTCTGGTTGAAACAAACACTAGAAACATTAAAATTTTGTACAGTTACAAATAAAATCTAATAATTCTTCCATATCTGTTCTAATAATTGTTCCATATCTGTTAATTTTTTCCAGTTATTATTTCACTCTAAAGTGGAAGAATTTGAATTCTGATCAATTAATCATCTCTGAAAATGTTAATCTTGAATGTATAACGTTGCTCAACACTTAGTACCAACAATTTTGGATGTCTAAAATCTCTGTCTCATATTTTTTAAGGTAAAAAAAAAATTTAAGCAAAAAAGTGAAAGTGTAGGAGGTAACTTCCAAGATCAAAAAGTGTAGAAATACATTCAGTATTTACTTCGCTTTTAAATTTTAGGACTGAGTATTCAGCACCCTGGCCCAAGAAAGAGAACGTATCACCCATTGCTGAAGTTCTGGTTTATAGAGAAGAGAAGAATGCTAGGAGTTCTCCACTAGAAGATGACTGAATCTTTATCAGTGAATTTTCTATGTAAATAAACTATTATAAAAGCAAGCATAAATATTATTTAGAGCTATTAAAATTATTTTAAAATTTTTTTCAAAAATTAACCTGAATCCTGTTCAGCAAATCATTTTCTTATACATTAAGAAATTGTGTAACTCTTACATTCTTACCGTTCTCTGTTAAATTTGAGAGAATGAAGAATAGCTGGCTTTTTTTGTCTAAGGTTCCACAAATGAAGTGTATCATCTGAACTTGCACTGACCAAAGCACCCTAGAACAAAATGAAGACAAAATGAGTGATTTACTTAATTTATGTTTTTTGTGAAGCAAAACCTAAACTAATGTACTGAATTTTTCAGTGCTCTTTAAGTTATTTGTATTTATATAATGTAGAAATACAAGAAAGGACAATGAACATACTTCAGTCAGGAAGCCTAAGAATGCTAAGAGTAGAAGAAGGAGGTAAACTACCATATATGGATTGGTGAGAATGATTAGCTCAAGGAATATGCATTTATCAATAGAGGGATTATTATTATTATTATAAGCATTATTATAATCTTATATTTTCTTTGTGAAAATCTATTCTTTTTTGTTTCTACTATTTACATATATATCATGTAGCTCTACAGAGAAGCAAATATCCAATTCAGTTTTAAAACTGCAATCTAATCACATAAAAATTCACCATTTCTAAAAATTTTCTATACAGTTGAGATGTACATATTCTTCCTAAAAAGTTTATACTTGATATAATTTAATTTGTCTTACAGTTCAAGAAGATTCATCTGTGACAAAAGCAAACATCTGTAGTAAAAGTAAACATTTTTCCAACAAGAATTCAGTATAACTACAAAAATAATAAGAGCCTTTTTATACAAAGTCTCCAAATACAAATGAATGCTACTTCAAATATTTAAAATAGGATGGGGTCTACCTATTAGTATGGCAGACACAACATGGGCAGAAAACTAGCTGCCATGTATGACTTCTTATACATATATTTAAACTACTTATTTCAGAGTTAAATAGATCATCTTAAAACTATGTCAGAACTTTTGCCATTATGAATTTCCCAGCAAAAAATGTCAATGCTTGCCCTATGTCAGAGCCTGAAGCTATTGAGTATGTTCTGTAAAACTGATCTTGCACAATCATGGTAGTCCTGAGATATCTAAAATTCTTCTTATATTTTTCAAAGTACTCTGTTATAAGTAAGCTTTCATAGTTTATTAACTCAACCACAGATAGCAAAATCATTAGCCCATGTAAATACTAGAAAGAGCTATACTGAAATTCCTAGAATTTATTTCTTTTTTAGGAATAATGAACATAGGAATCTAAATGACACTTCCATAACAATTCCTAAGACAAACAGATGCTCATGTATCGTGATGGTTCTCTTGACACTATTCAATATGTAACTATGATTTTAGTCTCAGAGAAAAATAGCTTTTAAAACAACAATCATAACAGAGTATAACCATTAAAATGTTTTAAAATGTAATTTGCATATTTGTACATAAATATGTAAATTACACATATTCAAAGAGGTATACATTTATACATACATTTTAACATGATCTCACAGGTAATTACACTCTATGCAATAAAATGAATCCTACACACGCCTTGAGGATTTTTGTATTTGTATGCTTGCTTTATTTGTAAGCTGTTCTCAAATACTTTACATATTCAAACTAGAAAATATAAGTACTTGATGAGCTACAATTTTTCTGAATTATAGAGCAGTGACTTCATTTCTCAAGAAGGCAGAAACTCATTTGGCACAGGGTGACGATAAACCATGATATACAAAATGAATAAAACATATCATTTCATGATACATGAAATTAATAAAATGTAGTTCGTGCCATACAAAACATATATACTATGCCAAAGGCAATGAAAGTAAAATAAACCAGCAGATGTTTAATTATATGTTAGTGCGATAGCTGAGTATATAATATAGGAAGGAAGTCAGTATTAATAATACTATGATAAAACTAGGAGATAACAGCATTTAAGGGAAGTAAACAGAACATCTGAACGTAACAGTGCCAGCAGAGACATAACACCCATCAGCAGGGTGTCTAGGACTCATTTACAAAAACAAATCTATAAGAAGCACTGCTAATGAAGACCTGTGAAGATTAAAAATTGAATAAAAACACGTGTCATGAGGTCAGAGGCTGGGAAGTTTGGGGAAAAGTACAGAAATTGAATTTAAAGGCAGATCAAGGTGAGGAGTTGAGGATAGACAACATAAACACTGGCAGGCTTGTCAGTTTTGAAGGCATGTCTTTACTTATTCTTAGTTATGTAACAGCACAGAAGCAAATTTAAGGCCTTAAAGACAATTCTCAGAGGACAGGACACAGAGAAAATCACCTGGAAACAATTTACGATTACCAGTAAACATCTATACAGAAGGCTTGAAAGACTGAGATCTTTCAGCTAGGAGCTGCAAAGTTGTTGCTGTTCAGTCACTCAGTTGTGTCTGACTCTTTGCGGCCCCATGGACTGCTGTGCACCAGGCTTCCCTGTCCTTCACCATCTCCCAGAGTTTGCTCTGGGAGCTACAGTGTAACACTGAGATTTCAAAAAGGCTGTCATTCTAGATACTAATGACTAGCTATTACAATAAAATATTTAAAAAAATCTTTTCCCTGCTCTTCTTTATTTCCCTCTCTCATTTTGGTACCCCATAGCAAATATGCCTACCACATGAAATATGCTAGGTCTGTCAATAAGAAGAATCTCACAGCCTTCTGAAAAAGATTTTTGAGTCAAGAAAAGTAAAATGTGGACATGTCTCAGTATCATAAATTTTTCATATCTCAGGTATCACTGATACAAAGTATATGAAATATTTTACCCATGTTTATGAGTAAAAATTCTTAGAAATTTATATATATATAATTTATATATATAAATATATATGCAAATACATAGAGCTGTCAAATAAAAGATCATAATTCATGCCATAAGAAAATGACCAATGATACCTCATGTTTTTCTCTCAACATACTGACCAATTTGCTAAGTGCTCAAATTTGGTATGGCATAAACTCTTAAAACATTTTTGTATTTACTGACTCACATAACATAAAACAGTTCTAGAATACTAAAGGATCCATTGTAAAAAATATGAGTCAAGAAGGCCTTAAGCAGCCTTTAACTACACTTTCTGAGCTTTACAAACTTCGTCTTTAGGGAGTTCCTCATCACCATAGGTCTATAAAAATAGGAATAGGGTAGGCAGCCAATTGTCAAAATAGCTATGCACTCATATGCCAACAAATGATTATAAAGATACAAACAAAGACATTCAAATTATAAAACTGAAAAGATTATTTAATGGAAGATAAAGACAAAACATGAAAATTAACACTAGATGATTAAACAAATTGGTGAAAGGAGAGTGTAGAGTGAAAGTCTAATGGTCAGTATAGCAAACAAAGGATTTTAGTAATCTTTTAAAAACCACTTAATTAATCTATAAATTATGCTACATAATCACAATAACAGGCTCTTCTGGTTATACAAATTTTTTCCTTTAAAATTTAATAAATTAACAAATACAGGAGTGCAGTCTTTAACGAAAAATGTCACCATGAATAATATTTCATATGTATACATCTTTAAGCATGTAGAAAAATATTATTAAAACAATTACATAATGTGTGTGTGAGATATAAATATTCAAGAAGATCCTTACCTCATTGATCAAGAATTGGAGTTGCAGGACAGCCGCACCACTTTCATGTTGACAATAACAATCAACACCAGGTCTTCCAAGTCTAAAATAATAAAAGTCAAGGATTCTAATATTTTAATTAGCATCAATATTAATGTGCAAAGAAAAAAACTAACCTACTTAGCAACCAACATTTGGCTTATTATTTACCTTTATTTTTGTAAATAAAGGGTTGAAAAATCATGGCCTTAGTTAATGAAAATTATATTATACAGCATTGTTTGCCAGGAAAATGGCTGAACAAGATGTCCCACACATATCAACCCCCCTCAACAACAATAATTTTGCATCTGCATGAACAGACCAAAGTGCATTCTCAGGAACTTCAGGATCCAGGTTGGAGGTTATGAAGGTGCAGTCCATTTTCTCCACTGAGGAGACAGAACTGCCTCTAAGCAGCTGACTCACTGACTGTGGTCTCAGCTATAGAAACAGAAATAGCTCTGTTCCTCTGAGAATTCAGCTACAATCCCATTTGGCTCTGGGTCTGTCACCAGCAAATCCCATATGTCAAGAGATCCAGAGGAGTCACATTCATCCATGTATCAGGTTAACAGGCATAATCAAGAACTTGTTCCTGACTGTAGACCAGGAAGTGGGCTTTGAACCAGCTCCAGCTCACTCCACCTTTGGAGGAGAGCCCCTGGAAGTAAGGTATAGGTCATTAGACTGTTGATTCTGAAACGGCCCCCTAACAGACCTCCAGCAGGTCTCAGCCACAGTTTAGGAACAATCTTGCTGGCATAGGAACCCCTTAGGAAACATGCTTGTCTGTGCCCTCTAAGATCCTAAAAAGGATTTATACTCAGCTCAAGACCCCTCACTGCCACAGTATGCTAGAATTTCTGCTGGCACAAAGATTAGACAGAAGATACTCCTGTCTCTGCCCCTTGGAGTTTCTGAAAAAGCCCTATATATGACTCTAGCTTCCTCATATCCATAGTCTGCCAGTCTACAACAATCCTCAATGACCAGTGTCCCAGTGGGAAACACTCCTACTTGGAGATCTGAAGGGGCCCTACACTGAATTCCAGTCCCTCCCAACAGCAGTCTGTGAACAGTCCTGCTATCAAATATACCCAACAGGACAGACTCCTGTTTATACTCTCAGAAATTCTGAGAGGGCCCAATACACCATAAATTCTCTTAGCACAAGGACCTGTTGGCTGAGAACCCATGCATGGACTCTAAAGCGGACTCTTGTCCCAGTTCTACCCTACTGAACAAGGTACTACAGGCAGTCACATCCACCCAGGGGCCAGAAGGGATCCATCCATACCAGCCCAAGACCCAGTAACAAACCCACAAGTCATAGATGCCACTACAGACCCAGCAAAACTGCCTCCCATGCATGCTTCACAACAGCAATTATGGATGCAATCTTATCAGCTCAGGAAACAGACAGGAGGTTTTTATCTCAGGAAACCAGTTTGTAAAGATTGGAAAAGTATTTGCTTCCACAAATGCACAGACACCAATACAAGGCTGCACAGACGACATAAAATTATGCAAATGTGACACCACCAAAGGAAAGTAATAGAGGTCTAATAACTGGTTCCAAAGAAATGGAGATTTATGATCTGCCTGACAAAGAATGTAAAATAATTATCTTAAACTGTATGAAATGTAAGAAAACACAGAGAGACAATTGAACAAAATCAGGAAAACAAAATACACTTAATAAAAGAAATGGAGAGAGATCAAAATGGTGGAGTAGAAGACATTGAGCTCACCTCCTCCTGTTGAATACATCAAAAATAGATCTATATGTGAGGCTTGCTAAAAATAAACTAGAGACTGGCAGAAAGGCTCTTTTACAACCAAGGGTGTAAAGAAAGATCCACATAGTCAAGTAGTGAGGAAGGCAAAGTGATCAGGACCAGTGCCTAGCACGAAGCACAGAAAAAGAAGGGGATATCACAGGTTGGGAGGTTCTCCCTAAGGAGTGAGGGGTTTGGGCACCCCAGCCATTGTGTTGGAATCAGGAAGATGAGTCTCCTAAATGGCTTTAAAAACCTACAGAGTTCCAAACAATAGCAAGGAGAGAGAAGAAAGTCGTCCTAAGTGATCAATGCAAGGAAACAGAGGAAAACAATAGAATGGGAAAGACTAGAGAACTTCCAGATGTTCCAGTTGGAATTAGAAAAGAGGAACCAGAGATTAAATTGCCAACATCTGTTGGATCATAGAAAAAACAAGAGAATTCCAGAAAAACATTTTCTTTATTGACTACGCTAAAGCCTTTGACTGTGTGGATCACTACAAACTGTGGAAAATTTTTCAAGATATGAGAATACCAGACCACCTTACCTGTCTCCTGAGAAATCTGTATGCAAGAAACAACAGTTAGAACCGGACATGGAACAACAGACTGGTTCCAAATTGGGAAAGGAGTACTTCAAGGCTATCACCCTGCTTATTTAAACAATATGGAGAGCACATCATGCAAAAATGCTGGGCTGGATGAAGCACAAGGTGGGATTAAGATTGCTGGGAGAAATATCAATAACCTCAGATATGCATGCAGATGACACCACCTTTATGGCAGAAAGCAAAGAGGAACTAAAGAGCATCTTGATGAAAGTAAAAGAGCAGAGTAAAAAAGCTGGCTTAAAACTCAACATTCAAAAAACCAAGATCATGGCATCTGGTCCCACCACCTCATGGCAAATAGATGGGAAAACAATGGAAACAGTGAGAGACTTTACTTTCTTCGGCTCCAAAATCACTGCAGATGGTGAGTGCAGCCATGAAATTGAAAGACACTTGCTCCTTGGAAGAAAAGCTATGACCAACATAGATAGCATATTAAAAAGCAGAGACATTACTTTGCCAACAAAGGTCCATCTAGTCGAGCTATGGTTTTCCCAGTAGTCATGTATGGATGTGAGAGTTGGACTATAAAGAAAGCTGAGTGCCAAAGAATTGATGTGTTGGAGAAGATTCTTGAGAGTCCCTTGGACTGTAAGGAGATCAAACCAGTCAATCCTAAAGGAAATCAGTCCTGAATATTCATTGGAAGGACTGATGCTGAAGCTGAAGCTCCAATAATTTGGCTACCTGATGCGAAGAACTGACTCATTGGAAAAGACCGTGATGCTGGGAAAGATTGAAGACAGGAGGAGAAAGGGACGGCAGAGCATGAGATGGTTGGCATCACTGACTTGATGGATATGAGTTTGGGCAAGCTCTGGGAGATGGCGGTGGACAGGGAAGCCTGGCGTGTGGCAGTCCACGGGGTCACAAAGAGTCGGATACAACTGAGCGGCTGAACTGAACTGACCTGAACTTGAGAAAAGAATAGATGAACACAGTGAGAATTTAAACAAGGAACTAGAAAATATAAAAAAGAACCAGTCAGAGAAAAAGAAACCAATAAAATATTATAAAGTAATTAGCCTCCAATTAAAATAAATAAATTTATATTTTTAAAAAAAGAGTATAACAACTGGAATGAAAAACATACTAGAGGGAATTAACAGACTAGGTGACAAAGAAAAATGTACACGCAATCTGTGAGACAGAATAATGGAAACCACCCAATCATAACAGGAAAAAGAAAAGTTTTTAAAGGTAAGGATAGTTTAAGGGATCACTAAGCCAACATTAAGCATTCATATTAACATTCACATTATAGGGGTCCAAGAAGTAAAAATAGAGAAAGGAGTTTAAAATGTGTTAGATAAAATTGTGACTAAAAATTTCTAGAGCCTGAAGAAGAAAACATCCAGATATAGGAGGCACAAAGGACCCCAAACAAAATGAACCAAAGAGACCTGCACCAAGAGATATCATAACTAAAACGGAAAAACTTACAGATAAAGAGATAACTGCAAAGGTGGCAAAGGAAAAACAATAAGTCACACACAAGGGAACACCATAAGGCTATCAGCTGATTTTTCTACAGATTTAGCAGACCAGATGGGAGTGGGATGATATGTTTGAAGAGTTGAAAGGGGAAAGCCTACAACCTGGGATACTCTATTCCACAAGATTATCATTTAGAAATGAAAGAGACATAAAAACACTTTCTCTGACAAGCAAAGACTAAAAGAGTTCAATACTAAATTGAGCCTCAAAGAAATGCTAAAGAGTCTTCCCTATGTAGAAAAGAAATAGCTACGGTAAGAAGTAAGAATTAATTTCAGTCAGTCAGTTCAGTTCTCAGTCGAATCCGACTCTTTGCGACCCCATGAATCACAGTACCCCAGGCCTCCCTGTACATCACAAACTCCCAGAGTTTACTCAAACTCATGCCCATCGAGTCCGTGATGCCATCCAGCCATCTCATCCTCTGTCGTCCCCTTCTCCTCCTGCCCCCAATCCCTCCCAGCATCAGGGTCTTTTCCAATGAGTCAACTCTTCACATGAGGTGGCCAAAGTATTGGAGTTCCAGCTTCGGCATCAGTCCTTCCAATGAACACCAAGGACTGATCTCCTTTAGGATGGACTGGTTGGATCTCCTTGCAGTCCAAGGAACTCTCAAGAGTCTTCTCCAACACCACAGTTCAAAAGCATCAATTTTTTGGCACTCAGCTTTCCTCACAGTCCAACTCTCACATCCATACATGACCACTGGAAAAACCATAGCCTTGACCAGATGGACCTTTGTTGGCAAAGTAATGTCTCTGCTTTTTAATATGCTATCTAGGTTGGTCTTAACTTTCCTTCCAAGGAGTAAGCGTCTTTTAATTTCATGGCTGCATTCACCATCTGCAGTGATTTTGGGGTCCAAAAAAATAAAGTCTGACACTGTTTCCACAGTTTCCTCATCTATTTCCCATGAAGTGATGGGACCAGATGCCATGATCTTAGTTTTCTGAATGTTGAGCTTTAAACCAACTTTTTCACTCTCCTCTTTCACTTTCATCAAGAGGCTTTTTAGTTCATCTTCACTTTCTGCCATGAGGGTGGTGTCATCTGCATATCTGAGGTTATTGATATTTCTCCCGGCAATCTTGATGCCAGCTTGTGCTTCTTCCAGCCCAGCGTTTCTCATGATGTACTCTGCATATAAATTAAATAAGCAGGGTGACCATATAC